TGTCTTGCCTTTCTGGGTTACAACCTGAAAAGAGAAAAAGCATACATACTACCTGCTTTCCTTTTCATCTGCTGATCAAGAATGATATTTAGATGATCACAGTACCACAATTCTACACTATTTCATGGAAGCATAACACAGATAAAGACTGTCCAAGTCTTGAGAAACTTAAAGCTCTACGTTAGCTGTGATGATTTCTCAGAAAATGCATTTCAATTTATCCCTGAGGGCACTCTCAGAGCAAGTATGTCCCTAGTAGAAAGAGAAGAGGCTGGCTGATAGCTTTTCAAAAGCCTATTTACCCTGTGGTTGTAATCCTTCCTTTGAATGCATTGAACAGAGATTTGATTCCAAGAACTGCCTAGTTCAGTGTTGACTAAGTGGTTACTCTGGTTACAGTGCTGAATCTGAGGTTATTACCCAAGAATCTGTTGGAAATCCAAGCGGAGTTCTTACTTCTTGAAACTAGATTACTTATGTGTTACTTGTATATTAAGTTGTTGTTGAGCAAGTGGTACTGTTACTCAGTGCTGTAGCTCATTGCTGACATAAATTGTAGCATTTGTTATCAAGCCAATCCATTTATTGCATAAGATATCACAGAGACCATAAATACAGGTGCCTGTTTCTTGGGTGGATTGTCATCTTTCATATCCATTTTGCACTCAAGATGGAATAATGTTTGAGTTGAAGCTTTACAGCTGCAGATCTTTATCATATCCTACCTAAGCAGATAAATACAGACAAGTCTTGTCAGCTAGTATCATTATTTTATTCTGCATTCCCTGATACCTAGCATATTTCTACCAACATATATAAATCATCAAGAAAACAGAGATGAGAAGTACATGAGATAGTATAGTCATCAAAACACATCTACCCATTTAAAGAAGTACCAAGACTATTCAAATCATGCTGATAGATATTTGTCTAACATGTTTTATAAACTTGCTTTTAAAAAGCATTTGTGATGTTATCCAAACTATTGCAGTTAATGTGCTTGCCTCTTCTCCTTCCCTCTTTCTTGGATTGGAAGCCCAAAACTGGACACCGTACTCCAATTGCTGCTTTATCAATGACATGTACTAGGATGAATCTTTCAATTTTATTAGTTTTTCTTGTGCACATTAAACAACCCAAGGATACTGCTTTTTTTTTGGGTGCTATGACATTTTGGTCTTGTTGCTCACTGTTCTCACCACATCCTCCTCTCCTGAAATACTTTCTAGCCAATTGATCCTCATTATGTATTTGTGCAGTTCATAATTTTTTATAAGCTATAAAACTCTGTGCTTGTCTTTATTGAATGAATCTCTTTTTTTTTTTCAAGACATTTCTTCAATTTATCAAGATAATTTTTCACTTTAATCCTGTTCTTCAATCTAATTACAGCCTGGCCAGTTCTGGATCATCTGAAGATTTAATAAATTTCCACTCTATTCCTCCCTATTCCTTCATCCAGATCATAAGAGGAAATATTAGTTAGGTCCAGGACAAACTGGCTGAAATCTACTTACACATCTTTCTATTCTGACATTAAATTTAAAACAGTTTTGAATCCACCCTGTAGCAGTTTCATTTAGTTTTCTGGACTTGCTTATAAAAGTTTTATGTGTAGCTGTATCAAAAGGTTTCCTAAGATTCATGGCATTTATCATTTCTTTCTTATCCCTTCAACCTGTTAAAAGAGTTTGACACTTTTTTTCTTGTAGATGCAAATAGACTAGGGTTCATAAGCCTGGAATAAGAGATGGCTGAAGTCTATAAAATCCTGAAAGGTGGGACAATAGTATGAAGTGAACAATTGTTCCTTGCCACTTAAGGCAGATAAATGTCTTATGAGATTTTGAGGTCTTAGCTGGTTTCCACATGTCTCTCAGCTGGATACTCACTTTTCCATATTTGGGGCTACTTCTACTCTTATTTCCCTCATCTGCACTGACATCACTGAGGTATTAATATTTCTTTACAAAGACCTCTTGATGATAAATAAAATTTCATAACTCAAAAGATTAACAAAATAATACAGGATTTCTCCACTTCATCCTAATTACAGTAAATATAGCAATATATATATAGCAATAAATATAGCAATTGAGCAAGAGAATTACTTATTTACACCAAAGTTTTCTGAGCCAGCAACATTTACCAGACAAAATTGGGTTTTTTACCAAGGACTAAAGAACTGTTTTCTGCTCAGTACTATCTCTGATTGAAGAGGTTTGCTTGGATTCCCATGAGGGCTACACAACCAAGATGAAGACTAGCAAGCAGCAGGTGTGAGCAGGCTACAGGCACTGTTTGGTTTATATCAGGAAGTGAATATTTGAGAGTAAATGTATATCTCAAAAGTGGAGAAGTATGGCTAAATGAAGCTAGAGGCTATCTATATCAGCATTGGTTGAGCAAGGTGAAAAAGGATTTATGGACAGGTTTTAAATGATGCTATGCTGTGGGAAGATTTATTGGAAATATCAAGCTTAAGTTCATGTGTTGGTGACAAAAACAATACTGCTCAAGGGTTATTTATTCATGTATTTCTAACAGATTCAAAAGAATCAAAGGAGGGAAAAAAGTCTTTTAATGGGGAGAGTGGTCTTTCACTGAATACAAGCCAATAGGAACAAGGTTGTCACCAGAGAAGTTTAAAATGGTGCTTCATTTTATCTTTCATGTCTCAAGTGTTTCCTGCTGCACTGAGGCTTGGAATCTTTAAATAGAACCTTTCAAGGAGACTATCACATGGTTTGTTTTGTTTGACCACATAATGCAATGACAACCAGGCTTGTACAGCTTCTAGGTGTTGCAGACAGGGAGCACAGAAATGGTATTGCTACCGCCACAAATTATTTTTCTACCATTTAGATTCCATTCTGTTTTGACTTATAATCCACTACTATAATCATGCCCTAAGGTCAGTCTTGGATATACAAAGGTTTGTAAGAAAGCAATATATCTTATTTTCTCTTCTGTTTGTTATTAACAATCTGAAGTCGTGGAGGAAGACAGAAACATATCCAAGATATTCTGAGGAAAAAATAGGATTGTTGGATTTTTTTCAGATATTATTTATCCAGTAAAATTGATTATATTAATCAAAAATTTAATAGAGATAACTTTCTTGAAGTCTACCAGAGTAACTAGACTATTTCTTTACGTTTTGTTCATAAGAATTTTGAGATCTTATTATTATGAAATACATGAGACCAAGAATTATAGCCCTTTATTTGTTTTTTTTTTTTTCTGTCAGTCTCATTCCCATTAAGGTCTTGTTACCTATGCCATGACAACAGTATTCTAATTTATCTATTTCTCTCTTCTCTGGTAATGAATTAACAATGATGGGAACCATAGCAACTGAAGCAAAAACTTCATTAAGCAAGAACAATTTTTCAGTTAACATTGTACAATGTGAAATTGCTTAGAGTAACCAAGTCTTCCACAGAATGGTCATAAGTAGAACAGAGAAGGCAGTTAAGCTGAACCCCAGTGTCTGTATTCCAAAGGAGTCTGTATTCCAAAATGTAAGATGATAACAGGTTTTCTCCTTAAGTATAATCATCAAAGATTGTCACTGAGTGGCAAAAAGCACTTACTAAATTTAAGATTTCAAGAAAATACTTGGCAGCAGTCATGGTGACTCATCCTGAAACATCATAAGCCAACAAAAACAGCTAACACCATCAAAACTTTATATTAAAGTGAATTTCCAGCTGAAATGAATGCAATTTGAATGAACTATTTAAAGTTTAGCCAGAAAAGCATCTGTTCCATCACTCTGTTTTTAAGGTTGCCAATAAACTTTGGGACCACAAAAAGATACAGGAGTGGATGGACATAAATATTGAGTGTCACGTTTTAAGTTTTGAAGATAATTTTCCTCTTCTAAATGAAATCTCATTCAACATGTGAAACTGGAGGCTTACTTATTCTTGCAAAAAAGGCTGGGGTTAATAAGGTATGACAAAATGTTAATGACGTCTCCAGCAATGCATTCTTCAAGAGCTATTTCAAAAGATAAAAGAACCCAAAAGTTAATTAATACTGAGGGTAAACATCCTACCCCAAAAGATCTGCTGGTACAGGCTTTCTGTAAGCTACACAAGAGCTTATTTATTGAAGCACACAAACTGAAACAAGAGGGATGTAATTAACCTGTCATCTGTTGAGAAAGAAATACAGGAGGGCAAAAAGTGTCCAGCAAGTCCTTCAAGTACACTGTGAACACTTTTTAATATATATTTGAAAGATAAGGAAGGCATTCTCTTCTCACTAATAAGGCCAAGCTAATTAAAAGTGAGACGAAGGAGAGCAACTTAGTGGAAGCGACCATAAATCTGGAGTGCTTGTGATGCATAAGAAAGCGAGAAGAGAGTGGCAAAGCGGAAATATTTTGAATTGGAGGAAGAGTGAATTAAATAAGCTCACAGGAGAGATATTAGGCTACAAGGACCAGTCTAAGTATGCATACACAAAATGAGATATGAAGAGAAAGATGTATGGAAAGCTTAAGAAAGCCTACAGAACAGAGCATAACCAGCGGTAAACACCCAAGTGAAGGCGTAAGTAGAGGGCATGTGTGCAGCCTGTCAGGGTCCAGTGACAGGAGGTCAGGTGCAGGATCATGAAACAGGTATATTGTCCTTATATCTCATAAAACAGCTCTTCAATAATTCATCCAGTATGTTTACAAATGTTTTCACAGTATTAGCATCCTAAGTATTATCTTGTGAAAGTTTAACCAGTCATCTTAGAAAACAGTGTCTGCTTCTGTTTGCCTTGAATTTGTATTGCTTTTTGTCTTGTGAGCTGAAAGTATTTAAGTCAGTTTTACATGTGTATGGGAACTGCTGAGTCACGGCCTGAACCTCTGATTGATCACCTGAGGCGAGCCATGAGTCAGCCAGAGGAGCACAGGTGAAGGCAATTCACCTGTGCTGCTGGAAGCTCCTACACCTATTTAAGAGCTGGCTACGAGTGGGGAAGGATCTCTTCTGGAGATTACCTCTTCTGGTGTTTTGTAGGTGAGCCCAGTATAAGGGTAAGCTTTCCATTTATTCTCTTTTGTTATGATTGTCCACTTTGCCTAACTCTCTTGATTATATTGTGATTGTAACATCTTGGTATCCATTGATTATACAACATGTGATATCCCAGTTATGGGATCTATTTTAAAGTTTGTTAAGAGAAGTCCTATATGTATTAATTCAGTGTCAACACAGCAGCATAAACTGAATTTCTACAGATGTCAACAGGAAAATCCAGGAAGTTTGGCTAGGTGGTTTTGGGGAAGTGTAGTACTGGTAAATGCTGTTCTTGTATTAATGTTTATAGTGCTGTAATTGCATTTAATTCAAGAACACTTTCTTAACTTACAAGTACAATAAATGCCTGAAGACCAAAATGTTTAAGATAGCAAAGCAAACTGTCAAGTACTTAGTGGCTTCCATTGTCTAAGTACACTGCAAAAGAACTTTAAATAATCATTATTTACAACGTCTTTTGTAAGATGGCTGAAAGGCGTAAGCAAGAATATAGTCAATATAGAATATATAATATAAATCTATGATTAAAATGCGATCAATATAAATTATATACATACATAATTTCAAAGTGAGTTCTCACAGGTATTTTTTGTCTCTGACATGGCCCTTAAAAATGCTATTATTTATTTTTCAAGGAATATACTAGGTAATATTCAAGGTTTATGTCATCTTTAAAATAATCTGTAAGAACTTCACTAAGTCTCTGTCTCTGAAGTAACAAATAAGCTTTGAATTTTAAAAGTCAATATCTGTAGAGAATTCTAGTAGAAATGAAAACAGTAGAATTCAAATAGAATTCTACTAAGAAGCTTCATAAATATGAAGATTCAAACAGAAAAGCCATGACAGTTTGTAAGATGAATAGCTGACACTGTCTGCCCACTAGTTATCTGAGAAATGTTGCATGGATTCAGAAGCCTTTGACTTAATCAGATACATCCTTTGCTAAGATTAAACATCTTGCCTTTGAAGGAATACACAGGCATTAACAGAGATCTAATCTCCTGGTCAAACACCAATCTGATTTCATATTAAATTGCTTTGATTTCTAAGTTAAGAGTACAGGTAGAATGCGCAAAGATATTTGGAAGACATTAATTGGGTTGTGGGGACCAGAAGGGAAGCAGGTCAAAAGCATGTTGTTGTAACTGGTTTTTAATTCTTGAGACTTTTGTATCACAGAGCATTCTGAAAGAATGACTACTGCCGTGGGAGTATGAAAATTCCATCTTCGTTTTAAACCTCTAGACATAAAAACACTATTCTTTCTCTGCCAATCCATCATCTTTTCTAATGATGTCACATGTCTATTGCATTGTAGTCACTTTAGCAGGAAAAAAATTATCAACCTCCTTATGTCAAAATTTGTCACAGTAAGTTAAAGCTTTAACTGTAAGTGTGATTAATAACTTTTTGAGATACTGAGTATTATGTACTGCTCTGTCTTTATCCTAGAAAGAAAATCTCTTCAACATTTTAGGGAGTACATGCCATTCGAAAGAATTTCAAAGTTAAAGTTATTTGATAGATTATTTGCATTGCTGAGACACACATTCATAATATTTCTTTCCCCTGTGAGATGGAAGAGTTAATGCATCCCCCACAGAGGAAAATAAGCATGCTTCTTCCTAAGAATATTTTATTGTTGTAGGACAGAATATGCTGATTCTACTTTTTCATTCTCTTTTTTGTCCAATACAAATTGTACTTCTACTTCTGTGGTGAATTCATAGTGTTCTGTTGTGGTTAAAAAATAAAAATATAAAAATACATGAATAATTTCTCTACTATATATGTATGTAGTCTCTCTTTACTAAAGAGAAATACAGAGACTGTATTCTGAAGAGAGATACACAATATGCAGGATATATGCATTTGAGGGGGAAAAATGATCTGTATTGGTGAACAGAGCACTGAATACGGTCATTACAAAGCAAACAGAATTTTTAAGCAGGGCAAGAAATTTCTGTTAAAAAACACAAGAAAATGCACTGTTCGGGATCATAGCCATGTTTGATTGTTTCTTAAGATGATCTGAAGCTGATTATACAGAGGCTCTATAGAACAGGAGGAGAGGAAAGCTATGGAGCTTAACACATTTATGCCACTGCAGTAGGTGGCATCCAAAAACCACAGGCAAGTGCATTTTTTCCAGATGTTGAGCATATGTAAGAAACTAACATGAATTAACTTAGTTCCAGGTAAGATTTCATGAAAATTTAAGGGCTAAGAGTATCTTAGAAACTTTGCCAAAAAATCTTTACAGTAAAACCATTTTGGATATGAGGCTTCACCATACCAATGGCGATGGTGCAGAGGTAATCATTAAGAAGTGGATACAAAACTCGAATGCGAACTCCAGAGCTGGGGAAGTGGACTACCAAGCATGAGGACTAATTAAATCCCATGAAGTTCACGAGAATGACAAAAATTATGGATTTTGAGAGGTGCAATGGCCGCTGTCCACATTTTTAACACCTTGGAAAGCCAAAAGTATCTTGGGACTATGCCTGAAGTAGAACTGGATGCTGTTAACTATATGATGCAGGGAAGCTATGTTTTCTGGAGAGGTGTTAAGCTAATCAAAATAACATAGTTGACCTCTAAAAAGAGCTGGCTCATTGCAACCAACAGGATGTAAAAATGTTGAGAGAACCTGCATCCTCTACAAAAAGCAATGAATGAAGTGGTTGTGACAGTGGGAGTTAGAAAACAAGCTGAGGTTTTCTTTGGACATAGAAGATTTCCATGCTGGCTTCACACTTGAATTTTTTTACCCCCCTCAACCAGCGAACTTCTCTCACCAGATAACTACTTCAGCCAGAAAAAGTGAGATTCTACCCAGGCTATTTTGTGGCTGCTATTTACTTGCCATAAATATTTAGTGTGAGTTTGCTGTTAGAATATCAATATGTCCCTTACTTTCACATTGCCTTCATTTGCAAAGTTAGACTCTGTAATTTATCCACTAGCTTTATTCTGCCATGGGTGCATTTATCAGCATTTAAAAGGAGAAGGAGAAGCTGATTTATTCAAAATGTAAAATCTGAAACATGACAGGGAGGCTGTGGGACAGTCTGACCTTGCTGGTGTCCCAAAGCTCTTCCTGGTAGAAGTAATGCTAACAAACTCAAAGCCAGCAAGAAAAATTATAGTCATGATTTTACATGTCTGAAATTGTGTGAAGATAAAATCAAGCTATGCCATCCTGGACATTTGGTAATCTATTCTAAAAACTGAATTACTCCTGAGCCCCTACAACTTCTGCAGTTACTAAAAGCTGGGAGTCTGTGAAGCCTCAGGTTTCACTCCTAAGGACAGTCAGCTACTGGCCAAGAGCAGATCTTCAGTGAAGGCAGGAAAGGTCAAAATTTCCATCTTGGTTTTTTTTTTTTTTTTAAAAAAAAATTAACTATTTTTATAATAAATTAATATTATACTTAATTTCTGTGTAATAAGGTATTCATTTATGATGATGCTGTTTTCTGCCATATTGCTTCAGAATTTCTTAATGATAGAATTCAGATGGGACTAAACCTGTTTGATACTTGCCTCATCAATACCTTACTTGAACATGCTATTTCTAGATGTCTTCCAATACTATCTGCTAATTGTTTTATATATATATATATATGTATATATATATATGGGGGATATGCTCAAGAAAGTTTTTGGAAGGACTATTTTCTCAGAACTGCTTTCTTGCTATTTATATGCAGTCAGTTCTGTGCAATCTGCTAGAGCTGTTACAGAGTAGTCTCTGAACTTTCATGCAGCTTTTGTGACATCTGTGAACAAACTCAAACTGTTTATTGAGAAGACTTGACAAGCTACATTCTGCTAGATCAGAACATTAGTGTCAGCAGAGTGAGCAAACTAAGGAAGACTGAATGGCCTGCGTAAAAATTGAATGCATTATTGTGTCTGGAGAGGCTAGTGAAAATATCTACTTTGAAAACTTGAAAGCTTTAGTCCGTTGCTTAGACCCTCTGCAGGAGTGCTGTAGAGAAGTAATCATCCCACAATCAGCTAGCATCAGGAATAGAAGACAGTGCTGACAGAGACTTAAAGGACTTTTCCAACATGTATCCATTGTCAGGCATTTTTGAAGGTCAAGGAACTATAGGAAACTCTTCTCTACAGAGAAAATAAAGTTTAAAAAAAGAACTTGATGTTCTTTTTGCCTGTGAGAATGGCATCCGACATCTCAACCACTAGTAGCTTTGGCTTAAATAAGAATTTTCAAATGATTTTTTCTTGGTTTATGGAGGGCTTATAAGAAGGCAACTGCTTCCACTCAGTGTGTGAAATGTGATTAATTGTAGGTGACTTTGATGGATGCTGCTTCTGAAATTGAGAAGGGGCTTAATCAATGGGGTATGATTGGAACACATATATTCAGGAAACAACAAAAAAATCTGCAGAAGGTAAGCACAGACTGCATCAGACTTGTAAAAATCCTTAGAAACAAGACAGAGATCACAACCCTGATCAGTGAGTGTAGCTGTCAATCTTGAGTTCTCTACAGAAGCTCTGAAGGAGATATCAACAAGCCAGATAGCTCCTCTGTGTCAAACCTGAGAATTCTAGGGCTTAAGAACTGAGCTGCTCCCTTCAGGCCAACTAGGAGTTGAGGCTTTGAAAAAATCAACAATGGAATATCAGAAGAGAGAACTTCTTTGTTGGAGGTTCCGGGGTCCATGAAAACATGGCTTAGCTGAGAGATGAGAATCTGCTTCTTTCACAGTTCCGTATCTAGGCCCTAAAAAAGCCACAGCATTCAGCTCCTGGCTATTTCAGTAGTGGCCACTTACAAAAGAGAGCTTGGTGACTTCAGAGGGAGCTTTTGGGATCTTACTTTTGATAAAGAATTGCACAAGCAACCACATGCACACAAAGCCAAATTCATTGGGGAAACAAAAAGGTTTTCATTCTAAAAAAATTATTTTGAAACTGCCAGCAAGGTTTATCAGGAATGTTAATTTTTAGCTGTCTTTTAGCTGTCTTTCACTCGGACAGTGGCCGAGTGCATGGAATGGAGCAAATGCAGCCAGTCTAAGACCCTGCCTCCAACTGGGGCAATTCAGGCCGCTTCTGTTCAAGAGGAAAATACCAGAGCCGCAGGCATTTACCTTCTGGATGCTGAAACAGAGAACAGTCTGCAAAGAACAAATTTCACTGAATGCATGAAAGCCAAACTTTTCACCTCTGTGGTTTGTAAATATTGGAAGTGTATTAGGCAGGATGATCTGCACAAAAGAAAAATGAGCATGTCTCTGCAGAGCAGGAAAGCCACAAGAGCTGTCAAACTCTTCAAACTGCCCAATAATTGCAGTTTTGTCGTCCAGGAAGTATTGGGAAGTGTGAATAAATACTACAAGACAAGGAAACACTGAAGTACTACTAAATAAGCTGGGCTGATCTCAAATATATTTCTTCTCAGAATGATAAATGAGGTTTTGTGTACAAGGGCTTAGTTGTTAATTATTTTAGAATACTCAGTTTGGTTTGTTTTATTACCCAAGCTCTTGCCAGAGCTAAAGTTTGGGAAAGCTTTGCACAAATGGCATTCCTAAGTTAGATACGTGTGAGCCAAAGGTTATAAAAATGCACTATTGGAAGGATGATGATATGCTGGCATAGGCTGCCAAAAGAAGCTGTGGATGCCCCATCCCTGGAGATGCTTGAGGACTGGTTGGATGGAGCTGTTACCTAGTGGTTGGCCACCCTGCCTCTAGCAGGGAGGTTGAAAATGGATGATCTTCATGGTCATTTCCAACCCAAGTCATTCTGTGATTCTATGAAAAATCTAACGTGGTCATGGGACATGACTGGAAATCAATTAAAGTGTTTCCTGTCTTCTCTTTTAAAAAGCTGAAAACCACAAAAAGTCTTCAAACTTGGTGTATGGTGTTAGTGTTCTCTAATATCTGTAATTCTGATATTTAACATTTTACTGTAAATAAGGTGAATTTTTATTATTGCATTATATGGTCTCTTTGAAGTATGTATATTTTGCTATAAAGAAAGACGATGTGGTGAAAGAAAGAAAGGTCTTTGAGCTCAGGCATTTTTGTGAGAAATATGATAAAAAGAATATTGAAAGAATGAAGGTTTTGACTTCCTGTAATGTGTTTAAGCAAGTCTGGGCACGTCCTATTGTAGTTTTATAAACTGCATCATGAGCCGGTTGTGCTGCTCTAAACGAACATAATATAGTCCTTAACTCTGTTCAGAAAATAAGCCCTTGCCATGGCAATGAAGGAAAACACACAGTGATATACAGAAGCAACTGAGCAGGGGTCTTGCAGAAGTGGAGTGTGCAGTGTAGAACCAGAGGCATTTTTGTTTAAAATTCATAGCTTTTCTAGGAAAGGAAGCACAGGTTGTGAGTGTTCATACAAATCAAAGTATTTCCAGCAGTTGTTTCTGCCAGGTGCACAGCAAGCCATGCTGTGTTTGTGCTTTCATGAGCTTTGCAAGGCCATAGACAGATGTTTTCCAGGTCTCTCTCTGCTGACGGGAGATGGCTCTGTGCCTACCTCTCCACATGGCAGTCGCTGCCCTGTGGCTCTTCTGATTCAGGCTCCTTGGATGCTCTGTACTCAACCTCAGGTAAAGCCAGCTGCCTCACTTACATTGGTAGGTTAATGCTGCAGGCTGACTGTCGGATAAGATATGCTTAACAACACTTCAGCTAGCCAAGCCATGGAAACAGAAGCAGCACAGCAATGTCAGACCACTATTATTAGACCACTATTGATATGATTATATAAAGTTGAAGGAGTTTTTAATACAGTTTTTACAAATATCTTTATGTGGAAACCTGGTAAAAATCATCAAGTGCCCCCTAAACAAAATCTTCCAGTAATTTCTGTAATGGAGCACTGGATTGCATCATCCTTTTCATACTTAATAAGTTCCATCAGGAGATAATTGGGTTCTCCTGCTGGTCCAGAACAGCACTACACTTGTGGTTATCAACTCTTTTTCAAAACCAGCATAGATTTCCTCATGATCAGATGGAAACTTTCTAGCTCTTTCAAAGATGTTTTTGGCTAAGGTCAAACTAGAAAGTATGTGCTGTAAAATCGTCTTTTCCCCTCTGCCAGTTTAAAATAATCTTTCCTGCATTAACCAACCAATGCTCTAGGTACTGTAGAGAAGGTCTTAAAGTGTGGTGCAGCAGCACCACAGCAGCACCCATCTCTCTTTTCATGTATGTGACATTCAGTAAAATTGTTAATTGTTTTTTTTTCTCAGCAAAACCTTTTGGTTCTCTATTGGCACTGGACTCTCAATCTTCCTTCTTTGTGCCCACCAGCATGTCCATTTTGAATCCCTCTATCTTACCATCCATGTTCATTGATTCATGGTCTTTGTTGAAGAGGCCAGCATGAAGCTGTGCAGCAAGAGTGTCGTCATTTTAATTGAGCATCGATTATTTAAAGAGCACAGTTGTTACTTTGGTTGATGAAGCCACCTCTCAGACTGACATCCACTCTGAGAACAGAAACTTGTGGTAATTTACCAGACCCTTTTTATATCCCTTATCAGGATTCATTTCGCCTTTTACTGTCCTGCAAAACTTATGTCTGACAATGGGTGCTGAATTCAGTGCTTCACTGACTGATAAAGGCAATGCCTTGGAGATTAGATATCTTTGAATACTAATCTGCAGTGAAAAACATATGCATACATTTATATGAACGGCATGGCTTTTATGCTGAAATAAAATCAAATTAATACTTGGCTGTTCTGGAAATACCAATATTTAATTTAATATTCTTTTATTTCATTTTTTTTACTGGAGAAAACTTCCTCTCAATCATGCCTCATTTCTAGAAATACACAAGGTTAAAAAACAGCAGGGATTTTTAAGCTGCTTTTCTTAGCATGTTGGAAAATACTTCAGCGTCTAATTAATGAATATTTTGTTTCTAATTGTGCATGTGCATGAGACCCCATTATGTTTATTTTAGGAGATATTACTGTGGCTTAAAAGCATATTTTCACAGGAGGGCATGTTAAAGGATATGTCACACCTTGGATGAAGCTGAGATATTTAAGGAGTGAAACATCTCTGTTTTAGCAGCCAAAAAGTACAGAAGAGTTTGAACAGAAAGCAAATAACTTTCAGAGTGAGATTCTCTGCTTCTCCCAAACCAGACTGAAAATAAAAATTCCAGGGCTCTCTTTTCAGAGTAAGAATGTTTACAAGAAAACTAAATGTGCAAAAGTATCCTTACACAGTTGGAATAAGAAGGATGTCTTTCATGGTTGACTGTTCTGTGTAATGTGCTTTGGCCTGAGACATAAAAAGCAACACAACTGAGAAATATCTATGGCCTTGAAAGTTAACTACAGAGTATTCACATATTCTGTCAGTTGTTTTGCTGAATGTCTGAAGTTGCCCTAAGTCAGCAACACACAGAAGGGAAATGACTATTTTAACCAGTTAACGACAAAAAGGAAATGTCACAAAGTGAAAATGATGCTGCTGTAGCCTGGAGGCATTCATCTTAACAGAAGACTGGATACCCATAGAGGAAGAATGGAAAGTCCACAACAATCCCATTATAATCAGTACTACTGAGCAATCTAAATGCAGGGATTAGTACCAAATTCAGTGTTATAAATGAATTAGGAATGTTTCCTGCCTGGGAAGTCTGGGTGGGGGTTTATGCACGTGTATAACATATAACTAAATTGAAAAGGCCTAACCTTTAAGATATCTTGCCAATACTCTTTTAGAGCTGCACAACGGACAGTGATAGGTGAATTTTTTTTATTAATAACTGCAGCTGTAAATTTATGGATGCAAAGCTGTTAGCAGCTACTCAGACTTGTATTGAGAGGGATGTAAAAATAGCCCATTTTCAGCTGTTGTGTACCGCTTCCGATGGGGAAAATGCTGAATCTGCTCTGTGGGTTCTTTTTTATTTGTGATCCAGAATTATACAGTGCAGTCATACTGACATTTAATAATGGTCTTATTATTGTCCTGAAATACTTGCTCACCAGCTGCGAAGCAACAACATTTTATTTGCCTTCATATGCTGTATGGCTTCCCATAAATGAAATGATATTTGTTCTCGACAAATGTCTCAGGTAAGATGATGCGTTTAGCAAGAGTTAAAGCCTATCAAAATGAAGGTTGATCTATACTAAGGGGTGAACTGTCATTCAGTCATTGCTAGGAAGGCTGCAGGAGTCTCAGCAATGAAGGGTAACAGTCCTATTTTGTTTCATTGGTCTAGTTTTTGTTTGCTTGTTTGTGTTATTGTTTTCCTGAGGAAAAAAATGTGTTTAACCAAGTTATGCTGCAGACACATTTTTCCTGGTGGTATAAAGCAAGCTGCTGTGCAGCGTACTACAGGCTTGTTTTTAGGAAAACACATCAACAAACAAACCAATTTGAGGGAAAGTTTGGTTAGATCAGAGCCTGGACCTTGGAAAACTTGCTAAAAAGTCACAAATCTTGGAGAGAACAAAGAAAAGGATGATGTTACAAGGGCAGATAGAAGCCAACAGATCTGCTAGCTGAAGCCCAGCAATTTGTGCCTGCCAAGCTCTGAATGAGAAGAGGTGGCTTCTTTGTCTATTGCTACTTTTTGTTGTTTGTTCTGGTGCTTATTGTAGGAAAGAAAGCAAGGGTGGTGAGAAAATGTTGACTGTGGTGTCAGTGAAGTAAATGGGCCAAGTTCACTGCCAGTGTAACTCAACCTAGCTGCAAACAATGAAGCTAACACTGGGCAAGTCCGCCACCCTTTACTTTCCAGTTGTTTTGGTGCATACTCATTGGAGAGGGGCTTGCATTAGTCCATAAGTGCATGTTATATTTTAGTCCATGTAGTATGCATATATTCAAGGCGAGGTAAAAAATGTCCACTATTAAGACTGAGGGAAGGGGGAGCGCTCATTTCATGATTTTTTTAAATTTTCCTTGAATGCACATACTTTTTTTTTTGTCTTTTTTCATTTTTCTTTTTTTCTTTTTTTCTTTTTTCTTTTTCTTTTTTCTTTTTTCTTTTTTTCTTTTTCTTTCTTTTTTTTTTTTCTTTCTGTAAACATTCCTTCTTTTTGCCTTAGGCCACATTCACCCAAGTCTCTGAAGTACGTACGGACCCCTTCTACACTGCAGTAGGTGGGAACCCATCCTGCACATGTTCTGAGATCACTGAATGTTATACCTGCTCTTCTGAAGGACTCATTTTTTCACTCAGTGCATTGTGCATTGCCCTAGCACGTTTACATGGGCACAGGCTTGTATTGTTGTTACTGATTATTAGCAGGTCTGTGTATCTGGAAGGCACAGTCATGAGCAGTGGCAAGATGCAGTTTGCATCTTGAGTTGTTAATGAAACTACCAGCGTAATCACATACATTCATGGAGGGAAGCAGAGATGGAGTCTTTATGGCTTTGCTCTTCATTTTTACCATTTCTGTTCCTTGGTTTGTGCGTGTTCTCTTTAGGTTTCCATTTCTTAGCAAGCTCCTTCCCCTTCCTTGTTAGTCCATCCAGTAACAGTTTTGTGAACATTTACAGCATGAGATTGCAGGGAGGATATATATATTCTTCCCTTCTAGGATACAAATTTATCTCATTCATTTGAATTACTTATTCCTATCCTGCATTAAAAGGTGGTTCTGCCGTGCACCATTAATTGTGTTGAATTTTCTTTGTGAGGTTGTGCTCCAAAAATTTTTTTTTTTGTCCCATTCAAATCTTATGTAATATTCCTCTTATTGCCATGCCTTCACCTTGTGTTCTTATGCTTTTTGTTTAGGTTTCTTGTTTTTTTTTTTTGTGTGTTGAGGATAACAGATTATGGCCAGAGAAATAGAGTCTGAGATTTTCTCATATCGTTTTCAAAGTTTTTTGCTCAAATGGTTATGCTGGGTTCTTCTTTTTTTTTTTGTAGGTGAACCTTAAAGAAGTAGCAGAACTGGAGGGTACAGAGAAAGTTCTCAGTGGTTTTCAGGTATCATCTTCACACATACTGATCATTAGTAATGAGAACACAGGGACTGAGATCTTCCTACATGATTATCCATCTGACAATGAAAAAGGTCACTTTCCATACAAAACTGTTCAAGCCCACCAAGTTTTGTAATGTCACAACTATTGATAAAATTATACATTTTATACATTCTTTCACAGTTCTCATACAGCCCTCAAACATCCAATAAGCTATAAAAATAATTGGGAAGCTGTGTAAAATATTTAAACCAGGTGTAGTGAAATGTCAGAACAGTCTGATGCTTTACAGAGCATTCTGACAATTCATTCTTTATAATTCACTTATGTTGTAAAAAAAAAAAAAATATATATATATATATATATTCCAGTTAGTTTAGAGTGACGAGATTAGGAAAGGCTCATAGCCTAGAAAGAAAATGCAAGAAATTCAAATATCTATCATGTAGTGTACAAGCTTGACTCATCAACTAGCACAATTATTTTCCATTGTTTACTTGCAGTACTTTTATTAATGAGAGATATCAGCTTGCTTTGCCAAAAGTAAGAGTTAGTACTCAGTGAACAGAGACAAAATATATTTGCAAGAATGTTTGTAAATTCTTATCTGCAGATTAAATAACTATTTTTATATTGGTTTTGTTCAATTTTTCTAGCAAACCAACTCAGAAAATATACTTTTACACAAATGTATATGGAATATAATGCTAAATGTGCTTGTTTTCTAATTACGAAACAAACAAATTAATGAGAAAAAAGTATTTTGAGGAATAAACTTCAGAAGCAAAATAGATGTCAGACAAACAAGGAAGAGAAAATCTGTACACACTAGCCTAACTCCAAATGTGGATATTCCAGTCCTGGGATCAGGACAGCCAGGTCAGCACAGAGCTGTGCCAACTGAATGGAGCTAACTCATTTATGCAGCCTCTGGGACCCAAGTGAGTATGCAGAGTGGCAGCGTGCCATGTAGACGCACTGTCCTTCCTGGGCTATGTTGGCTATGTCTCCCAAGGCACAGCATTGTGTAACACAAACATGTCCTTAGTTGACCAACCAGCCCAGGCAGCGAGCAAATTCCAAATAGCAAATGCTCAGACAAAGGACTGTAATCGTTTATGAATGCTCTGCAAGCACAGATATTTGCTCAGATGAACCACTAAATAACAAACGAAGGGGAAAAATCTGGGACCTTATTATAGACAATACATTAGCAGAGAAAGGAACTAATTTCAGCCTCCTCTCCCCAATTTGTTTGCTGCTGCCGTATCATCGAGCTGCCAAAATTATAGCTGCATTTTCTGAACCTCATTTTAATATTCAGAGGAGTTTTATCTCCCATGAGTTTTCTTGTAACTCTTACAAGCAGGGTACCACACACATTTTTCCCTCGCTGTTAAGAAGTGTGAAATTTGCAGCAGTACTTTTTCATATTTCAAACATACTGTTGTGTTCACCTGTACAAAAAGCACTCCATTGAATGTGCTCTGCTGCTCTATTCATCTTATTTCTGAGGTCTGTTTGGAAGTTCACACTCTTCAGTCATTGCTTATTTGCTGCAGCACGCAGTGAATTGCTTAGTAGTGCTTGAAGATCTTTCCATCTCAGCAAAAAAAAGGTTTTATTTTTATATCGCAAATATTAATAATAGTTCAAATTGAGAAAAGACTTAGAAAGTACGGTTGAAAGTATGAACACATATGGACATATTTTAGAGAAAGAGAGACCTGAGCACATGCTTGATTGCCATCCCAAAGCCCAAATCTAGCTCTCAGAGTGATAGACCCACTTATGGGAACTTTGCTACAATATTCTGCCAAGAATAGGGTCAGGCATGGCATTGCACCAGGTTCCTGGGGATTCATCCAACATATTATACCTTCTCGTTTTTGTAAGACCAACATCTAGCCTGAGAAGGATTTACAGTCATGGGATAACTTCAAATAGATCAAGCATTTGGTATCTGGACTCTTTCATGCTTGTTACATCAAACTACTTCATCTACTTCTATGATCTTTGGAAAGAAAAAACATTATTCAAAATATCATGTATTTTTTGGAAACTTATACTTTAGTCGTATAAATCTTTCACGCATATTCTTTTGCAAAACACAAGTAGAAGTAGATCATTTTCAAATACCAATTTTTATATTAAGCAGTTATTTCTCTCTACATTTTCATGAACTGCACCATGTGATATTGATTTTGCCTTATCTTGAAATGAACCTACTCTTGTTATATGGGCAACGGAATCTGAAGAGATGCATGATTTAGTTACTTTTTCTTCTGTTATTTCCTCTTTCCTCTTTGGCAGAGGGTGGTGGTACTATTTTACTTATATATTCCTAACAGCTAATTAGGCCAAATTTCAATCCTGCAAATATGTCTCCTATTAAATTCAGTAAAATGTTGTAAGATGGAAGAAAGCCATGTTTTGTGCTGTGAATTTTTTGTTATTTTTAATTTTTATAATACTGTAACAAGAAGATGAGCAAGAGCATTTATATAGTTAGCAACTGATGCAACAATCAATTTTCATGTTGTATATCAAATATTTTATGTCTAAGTAACCTTAGATATAAAAATTGATGCTCAGGATGCTTAACTTGAAACATCTTCCTGGATGTCAACCTGCATTTCAGGTCTCTCATGTACTTTACAATGAAAGCAACTCTTGCAGAGGCTCAGACCTTTTTCGTATATGGGGTATTTACATGCCATGGCCTGGGGACAGAGAGGGGGATGGAACCCAGCAGTACAGCTCAGGATTCAGAAGACAAAGTGCTCTTGGCCAGAGTCAGAGTCAGCCTCCTGAGCATCTCTGGACACATGCAGTACCCAGTTCTCAAATGTAAAGAGAAGTCATCTTTCTTCTCCTGGGAACAGAGGAGCTGCCAAAGCTAGTGGGAAGAAGATAAAGCCTCTGTCAGCCCCTCAGGAAACCCGTATCTGAAATGACCAGCTTGGTGTTTGTAGGATGGAGGCCAAAACTGCACAGAATTTAGAACAAATCACTGTATTATTGCAGCAGCTATATCCTTCTAGTCCTAGAAGAAAAATCAAGCTTCAATGATCCAGGTTTACAATTATAAGGCAACACAAAATTAGGGGAAATTTTTTTCCAGTCTGGATCAATTTACCTAAATTGAAGAATATTAAGAACTTTTCTATAGCTTCTACATATAACAGATAGAAGTTGCAATTAAAATTATTTGGGTTTTCTGAACACTTCCAGCCATTCCTTTGCTTCAACTGCTATTCCCAGAGTGGATAAATATTAGCAACAAGTAGAGCAGTTAGAGCTGTTGAAGGAAGGAGGGGGATGCACAAAAAATAAAGCAAAAAAAAAAGCTGGCAAGCAAGTTCTCTGTTTCTTTGAAAACTCTCCAACATCATGAATCCTGTGAGAGATTAATTAAAATGAAAAAGGAATTTTCAAAGGAAGAAAACAAAATAGCTTTTTTAATGGTCTATTTTTGTTTTTGACTCAGGAAATCTCTTTCTCTTTTTCAGCTGGTTCCCTCAAAACATAAATATTGGCAGCTTTAAGGTTTGTTTTTCATCTCAGGCAATGAGTTCAAAAGCTTTTCCAGTCAAGTTTTGAGGGTTTGCTCACCAGAATTTGGATTTCTGACACATCTAGTGAGTCTAGAACAGTAAGCATTACCATTAAATTAAAGTTGCCATTTCAAGTGAATGGTGATTAAATAGCAGCGTATTCACATTGCTGACAATTAGGGGAACCTGTTTTTCTCTTGTCATAGCAATGCACAGAGGTCAAGGTCAAGCAAATTCTACATACACAACAACTTAGGTTCACATGATTAGGGGTTATTTCTGCCAATCTCAGAAAGCAAACTGTTAATCCACTTTCCTTTCACCAGCTAATTGAGTAGCTAGGTGCTGATTTCAGCCTAACCTGTCCCAAGATCATAAGCCATCTGCTGTTGGGTTACTGTTAGTTCACGCTGAAAAGATTTGGAGAGAAAAATGCTGAAACTGTGACTTTTTTTTTTTTTTTTTTTGGATATCCACCATTCTTGGCCAAAAATTAAAAAAATAAAAAAAGAATATGCCCCTTCAGCCCAAAGTAGGAACAATAACAGTCCAATGGGTAACTGTCAAACCTTGTTGAAACAGTGTGAGTCACAGAAGGTTTAAATAAATCAATTTGCTTCAGCCATGTCTGTGGTAGAATGACACCAAAACACAGAAAGCTACTAAAAGCAGAACAAAATAGAATAGTAGATTATGCCATTTTCAGAAGGATAGCTTGTAAACACGGAAAGGCTATCTAGGAAACCTACAGTTAGTCATGGAAATCTTTGGATAATACTGAAACAGGTTGGGCCGGGTGACAGACCTTAGTGCTGCGATGAGGAAAGTTCAGCACATGTACGAGCAGAGCTGTGAAGGTGTTATGCTGCAGAGGACAAAATTTGTGGGCTATAAAAGAAGGATTCTAGAGTAGACTGATACCATTTTGAAAAAATTCTCTTAAGAGCTGAGGAAACAGAATAGTAAAATACATGTAAATAAAATTTGTTGTTAACGTCAGGAATGTATATCTTTGTTTGCATGAAGAAAATGTTTGTGAACCCTGTGCAATACCTCTCAGTGCAACTCCTATCAAATATCTCTGGCAAAGTAAACCTTTAAAACTCTCATGGGACTTTATAGCCTGTTTAAAGAGGTCTTAAAGGGTTGTGAGAATGTGCAGCATCCATAAAGTAGATGGCTAGATCAGTTGGTATCCACCATCAATAAGCTGATGTATTTGTAGCTTAGTCTGGGACTGCTTCCCAAAAACCTGGGTGAACTCTAACTGATCATTCATCCTGTCTGAAGACATGTAAGGTTCAGCTTGCCCTCATAGCAATCTGGGGAATGGCACATCACGGGGTACTTGATCAGATCCATGTCAGCTCTAGTCCGTTAAGCACTGCCTTGTGCCTTGAGAGGCATCGACCATTCACTGTGATCCAGCATTTCTTTCATAATTTTG